TGCGAAAGTCAGCGTTGGGTTGGGGTTTTCGTTTTCCTCACGTCAGATGTTTTGTGCACGGGAAACGACAAACGGCGGTATGCCATGGTTGCCATTAATCACCAGATGAAGTGATAGCCATTAAACGAACGAACACGAAGAAATGGAATTTATGAGCTTACGCAAACGATTTTCACTCTAGGATTTGCGTGGCCCATTCATGGGAAAACTTTTGATTTTTTGGGTTTCTGCCAATGTCCAAAATTGGAAATTAGAGGTGAGCATGCACGAAGTGCATGTGCAGTACGACCCAGAATTACAATTCGCTCGCCCATGCCACGGACCGAGACCGATCACCTGTGCGCTTGTTGGCATTTGCTTGTTCACGCTCTTCCAAAATGACATTTGCTTTGTGACTTGTTTCCGTGTCTTGTATGTTGTGTTGACACTTTCCGGACAGTTTGAAAAATGCATTTGTTTTTGGTCGAATGAATATCTTGATTGTCTCCAAAACTCCATGGAGCCAAAAGCACTTGTTAGGTTCAGATGCTCCATCATTGTTTACATTGAATTTTTGAAGGACTCATAGTTGCATTTGTGCAAATTATCAGATACAGCATTCTGTGTTGCGTCTCAGTTCAACGTTGCTTCTTGCAAGAGTTGATTGACCGAAGTGTCTACAGTACAATTTACGTATTCACGTCCTGCCATGTGCTGCACATTACACACCCACGCCCCCTGATATGAAGATTTGTGAATGCACAAACACAACGAACAAACAAAAGGCATTTCATGATTTGCAAGTGAATACAACTGTTGGAGTGAAATCGCAAGTTTTTTTTTCAGGCAGAAGCATCGCACCCGCACGGCAATATGATGTACGTAAACAATATTTCGTGCGGTCAGTGTTATCGTTATTTAAGTGGATTTGCGCGGTATGTTCTAATATATCGGCAAGTGACAGACAACATTTTTCGGTGGTATACTGCAGTACATACATTGACTAACATTGCTGCTTTTATGTGCCACCGTCTTTAGAATCAGCTGGTCCGCACCATGGTAACGACATGGAGTTGGCCACAACCAAGGCTCTGTTGGCAGCGCCTTGCAAAAATTGCAAGGGGATAGTACAATTTTCCAAGGTGGTTCCAGAGTGCACATGTTTTTGTTGCAGCACGAAATGAACCAAATAAGATTCCTTTAGTGTCTATTTGGTTGCAAGCACAATTTTCCTTGTACTTTCCTGTTCTGCCTAGCGCTGAGCGGTGTCAGCTTTCAGTAAGGGGAGTTCGACGTATGACTGGACCAATAAGTTTGGAATGGCTTGGCCGTACTCAGGATTAGGCGTTTGCTTCTTCCGCGAGACAATACACCGCATGTGTTGCTGCGAGGCGACTAGTTCATGCTCTTGATGCTTCTCTGCATGGCAGTTCGAAGGCAGGCCTGCATGCCTAAGCAGGGTCCAAACGCTGCCAATTTGTCTGGGAACAGCCTTGCTAGTCTGTGCACGCACATGCAAGGGCAACCATGACAACTTTTGCGGAGGCAATAACTGCAACAGTGGCGTCAAGATCAGAGAGTCAACTGCGTACAGACCCAAGTTGGCGTTTGCAACAGTTAGAGGTCTCACAGCTGTTTGCCGTGAGGTTCAAAACAGCCTTCAAACATACCCCTCGTGCAACGCTTAGTTGACATTATGTTGGCCAACTATTTGGATTTTGCCTGCTGCTCGTTTGCTTGCTCTCCAAGGAGGGTTCACGTCAAGAGAAGCCCATAGTCTCTGCGTCCACAGAGGCATGTTGATGATGTCCACGCCAGATTTTTGTCACAGCCCTTAGCAAAGGGTGCTATGAGGCCCGACCTGGCCAGAACGGTCTGTATGCGGCGACCTCGGAGTTTACTAAAGTGCCAGTCTGACCTCCAGTTTGTTTCTCAGTCATGCCCAGGATCTAGCCCAGAAGCTGAGTGCGAAAGCGCTGAGCCAAGCACTGCTTTGTCCTTCAGGGCGTTTGGTTCCTTGTGGGGCGTGTCTTCATCTGAAGCAAGCCTTAATCATGGCTTTCGGGTGGTTTCACTAGCTTCCGAAACCACAATCGTCAGATGCCCTCAAGACAGCATTGTGCTACATGAGCTGATTGAATGAGCATGTCGTGCCATGGTGCGTAGCTGTTCTGACAGTTCTTGATGTGCTGATCTTTCTCGGGCTGTGTTGCGCATGAGCCGGTTGACGAAAGTGAACGAGTTCTTGTCCACAGATCAGTACGTTTATGTCGTTTTTGAGATCAGTCGACAGTTTTGTTACAACCATTTGAGCGACAGGACAAGTAATCTGCAAGAGTCATGCTTTTGGGCGCATCTTGTCTTGCAATGGACATTGCATCCTGAAAGCGTATGAGGGCTGACCAGAGCTCTTCTCTGGCCATGGCAGCACCATGGGGTTTGACGAGCTGGAAGAGGTGGCAGATGTCGTGCCGGAGTTGCAGTTTCGCGAACTCCTGGCAATGTTGCCGCCGCTTCCCGCCGGGTGCCCAGAAATCTCCCATTTTTTGGAAGGACTTGCTGTCTGGGCCTGTCTAAGAAAAGAGGATTACTGCCAGTGCAGCATCAGGAGCCGAACAGATGGGAGATGAGATCGGAATCTGCATGTGGATGCACGTTAGTGTGCTGCGCTCAGCCAAAGCTTACTCGACATAGCTCGGATTTGATCCAGACCATTGGGTGGGCTTGCTCTGCAAGCCTGACAGCGAAACATCCTGAGGTTGGGATTGATAGCGGTGCTTGTTGCTGCTACGCGGCATATGTGCAAGAAAATGGCTGGCCATGTGAATGAGGCGCATTTCGGGGAAGTCTAATGCAATACTCAGATAGCTGATGCTGCATTGTTATCTTTTGCTTGGTCCTGATTCTCAACTGCATGGTTTTTGAGGTTGCAGGCCCCTGCGAGCTTGCACTGACTTCAGTGTCAGACGATGTCGGATGACCCATGTGCAAATCGTTGCCTGTGGACAGCTGGTTGGGATCATGGTTTGTCGAAAGAAGGAATCAATGTTTGGTGTTACCTTTCCTTTTTTTCTCGTATGGCGTAAAACAAATGGAGTGTACCCTTCTTCCGAAGTGCATTCCTGGAAATACAATTTCCAAGCATCGTGCCCTTGCAAGGCCAACCCTTAATCAGTCACTTGTGTCGATTCCCCACATCCACGATGCTTGTAATCCACCATCCGCTTTGGAAAGGTGCTGCAGTCCACCCTGTTCTACGCTATACACGTCGAAGAGTCCTGGCAAGGATTGAGGATTGTGAGGGTAGAGACGTGTACTTGGACGCTTGGCAAGGCTCTCCTGGCCTTCGTGTGCCTGCTGGGCTTGATGTGGGGTGACGCAGGCACCTGTCGTCCAAGCGACAAGATCCACAGCAGCTCCAGTCCGACAAGTGCTGTGGCAGACCCATCCCAATCGGATCAATCATTTTTTGAGTGTGACAGGTGTCATCCGGCGATCGCAAAGAACCTGTTTGCCAGTTCCACCGCCCGTTCATGCGGCCCTGAAGGCAGGATTGAGTGCTCTTTCATTTGCCTTGCTTGTTCATGTGTACGAGGCCGGCAGCTCTCTCGATCAATTTCAGAGCCTCTGGCATCACAACATTTCGATAAACTAGCGGAGCTGTCCGGGCAAGCTGGTGGCTGCGTCACTAGTCAATGCACGCTTGTTTTCCATGTACAGCAAGTGGTTGTTACATGGCGTTTTTAAGAGTCAAAGCGTAAGCAGTCATCAGCTACACATTGCACCATCATTGTTGGAGTCTGACTATGTTTCTTTTTCCTACAGCGTTCTGTATTACTAATTGAATCCAGTTTGCTGTTGCTTAGCTCTTTGGAAATCAGGAACGTCGTTGATGGGGACAACACCTACTGCGTGAGATGCTGTGTCTGGCGGCGAAGCGCGGAGGGTCAGCTTGCGTAGACGATTGGCTTGATGTGCATGCCTTCTCTTGTGCGGCATCTTCTGCAAGAGTACTGAGGCAAGTCAGCCAGGTGCAGACGCATATCTCTCTGTGATGATGGCCAGGACCTGAATATGTCGAAGAAGTGCGTTCAGGGCAGCATGTTGGAAGTGCAGGTGCTATGAACCTGCCAGGTTCTATGTACAACTTCCATCATTGTTCTGTTTGCCAGCGCTGTGCCGCTGCCCAAGCTTCTCCTTGCTTTTTTTGGTTATAGGCCCCGTGCCTAGCAGAGTCGGTGATACCACTTCAGCTGAAGACTTAGCGGAGATTGCCAGCAGGTTATTGAGGGTTTGACGGGTAGAGAAAGCTCAAGCACTGCTTGCGCAGGCAAGTGGTACTTGTACAGGAGCTGGTACAACTCATGCCAGAAGTTTCGAGAGGAATATGTTTATAACGCGTTTCAATACTTTCATATGTTTTTCGTCTTTCTGGTCCGGGTTTAGGGTTCCATGCTACGTTTGTCTATAACTTCCAGGGCCATTGTTACCATTTTATAGTGTGCTGATGACTCCTGCCACTTTTACTAGTAGGTCGATGTCGTTGATTTGATGCTATGGTTTTTGGGCGTAACTTCCAGACATGTGTTTGAGATTGTGTGGCCAGCGCAGGACTTTCAGCACTTTTTTGAACAAATGTAGGTGTTGAGAAGTGGAAGCTGGGGAGCGGCCAACTATTTTTTTTTTTTGTTGCATTGTTGGCTTCAGTGGCAAACCCTTTAGCCATGTCTCACCGTAGTGTGTCTGGCAGGGGCCAGGGGAAACAAGTGCACTTGTGCAGATTGTGTGGGGGCAAAGCGCGGAAAGTCCTGCGCTGGCCACACAGTCTGAAACCAATGTCTTGACGCTAAGCCTTCGCAGTGCCTGAAGTCGTCATTGACGTACTTATCTCCCCCCACCGCAGGCCCCCTCCCACCCCCCCCTGCCAAAATGGCCCATATTCAAAACATGCGAAAAGGAACCATGCACTGTAAAATGTGGGTCATGTGAAGAAGACAGCTTCCCAAATCAACGAAGGGCAGCTCAGCGACTATCATGATGAGTTATACTCTTGCTAGCATGTAGACTGTCACTGTGACAAGTATAGTCCCCCAGTTTGAGTAATGTTGTGCTAACAATATTTTCATGACACACTTCTCATTCCTATCAAATTGTCGTTTTCATAGTAAGTACAGTAATTACTATTTTGGTGCCCTTGTTTATCATTGCCATCATCATCATCATCATCAAGACTTGTACTAGCCATGTTAGTACTGGTCTTTCCAATGGCTGTCTCTTCTGTTGCTATGTGTGCGGATCATGAATTGAAGAATCGTATTACTATTGCTGCTTCTGTGCTACCATGTGCGCAACCTGCTCCAAACCACCTGCACAAGCTGAAATGCAGCACTTGCAAATTGCACAGGGCTGTACATGTACTCCACGGCATTTAAGATCACAACGCTGTACGGCAAAGCATTTTTTGCAGCTTCAAGCCCGCACAAAAAACTCCAAGAGCCAGAAAATTAACTCCGCAGCACCGACCTGCAGGGCTTTGTTTCTGCATTGCCCAGCAACGGATCACGTGCAGGTCCAACTAGCAAATGAAGCCCGGCAAGCGGGTTCTGTGTGCATGGTGCTTCTCTTTTGCTCTGAAATGTTTTTCCACGTAAGTGATACTGAATGTTTGGAAGATGCAGCAAGATATCTCTCGCTTGTCGGGTCACACTCAGGTAGCCAACTTTGATCATCATTGCGGCGTGTTTGGTCGCTGCATAGCCGGAGTCGGACTTTCAGGAAATATGGGTTGCATGGCAGCGTTTAGCTTCACGGGACTATTTGTTTCCGGACATGTTGGCGAGAGTTATTGTACGATCCTGTCGCTTCCAGTTCACTAGCCTGGCCAGTAGCATGTCTTTGTTGAGGGGTTCGGCGATGTTGGCTTCCTAGGTTTCTTCAATGCCATCATTGTGATGGGCTTGGCTGGGGGCTCGACCTGCTTTGCCAGCATCCTTCTGGGTCTCATCTACCAGGCTGAGCCAGAAATCCCACTTACCAGAGTCATAATCGTTCTTCTGTGGATGTGCCACTGCAGGAGGACGGCTTCCTGCTTTCGGTCATATTGATGGCCTATTTCACACCGATGTTCCTGGGGTGCTGCATATTTCTTTGTCTCTTGATTGCACAGACGTGCAGCACACAGAGTCCAAGCTGCGAAGACGACGCATGAACCAGAGTGTCCAGCTGTCAAGTCTTATAATCATGGCTGAGGCGGCATGATGTGCCCTGAGCTTCTTGATTCAAGTTTTGCTTGGTCAACCTGCACGAGCAGTATTGCCCAAGTTGAGAGAGTGAAACACCAACCAAGGGGCGGCTGCAGCAGCCTTTGCTCCAGATCAGGGTATGTCAAAGTCCTACAGGCGGGGTGCCAGAAGTTTTTTGCTTTTCAGCGAAGAGCCACTGGTCAGGTGAATGCAGCTGCCGCTTCTGCTGCTGCTACCACCATTGGCTCCTCTACAGACTTGGAAATGCGAGATGTCAAAGTGTCATGAGAAAAGTGCAGATTCTGGTCTGCCGTTTCGACTGTCGTTGGATGACGCGCGCTGCAGCTCGATGCATGTTTTAGGTGACGGCGCCCCTAAGGGGCCGTGTGTTTAAGCACATTTTTATGATTGGTTTGGTATGGCGGATGCGC